GTTGAGCATTTCATTTAAAACACAAAGCCGGAGCCGCTGCTGTCGGTCCGAGTCCTTGGTGGCGTGGATACCGTTCTCGTGATGCCCGTCGTCCTCTTCCATGATGGTAAGAAAGGTCGCTCTCTACAGAAATGCTCTTATTTCACTAAGTATCCACACTTTGTCGAGTTGTTGCTTCAGTCCATCGTTCAAGGGCAAGTTTTCCAAAGCCCCTCACAAGTAGTGATGAGGATTGCACCGGTCACACAGGAGATAAAGTTCACTAAAAGTGCCAAACAACAAGCGGAGAGACTGGCTGTGTGAGCAGCTGAGAGCTGCGGAGCGATCAGACTGCAGAGAGGCTGGAGGGGAGGAGGAGGGACCCAGAGCAGAGACACATGGGCCACAGCTCACTTCTGCTGTGAAGGAGCACACAAACAAACAGAACTTTCAACAACAGTTACTGAACTGCATGAACAATGATATGTCAACAGTAAACAGGCGTGTTAAATAAATGGACTGTAGTAAAAGGTACAATATTTGCCTCCAAAATGTAGTGGACTAGAAGTAGCATTTGGAAATACTCAAGTGAAGTACTAGTATGTCAAAATAGTACTTGTGCAAAACTTGAGTGAATGTATTTCCACCACTGATGACAACTAAACTCAACTTCTTCTTCATGCTTAGCCTACTAGGGAAATGCCTTAAACAAACTATACGTTCATATAAATATAATAAAACATGAAATAAAAGATTCAATTAAATTACCTATTGCAGTAAACAAAGTAACTTAGGCTACCTTTAATCTTTTATATATAATGTTAAATGAACATAGCCTACTGTTATAAGTAAAGACACCTCTGAAATACTTGTCACACTGCTTTCCCTAGGCTAGGTTAGCTGCTAGCCCAGGGCTAATGATATGCAGTGTGAAAAAGGCATTGAAAAGTCTCAAATGTTAACATCCCCCCTTATTGGTGAAATGCAATACATGCTAGCAACTACACATAAATACATATCAGAAAGTCTGAAAAACGTACCAAAACTTTTTAAAAGTACGTATTTGAATTAAGTGTCACGCATATTTATGAACAGTTGTGTTAATTGAGTAATTTAGCTAAATATGTTGCCCCCTACCTGTCACAATAGCAGCCTCACCTGTAGCGAGCACGGGCTGGTACATTTAAGAGGAAGGCGCCCTCTGGTGGATAAAGCCAGAAGTGCGACTTAAGGTGGTAGAATGAGCACAGGTAGTAATGTGATCAAAACTAACTTTTAGAAACGATTCGGTCTATAATCCACTTTCATTTATTATAAGATATAGCACTGACATGTGTCGTCTGTATTTTTTGTTGTTGTTGAATTAAGATTTCCCATGGTATGTTTTCAATTTTTTCAAGCCCGAAGGTCCCCGCCGGCGGGTAAAGCACCTTGAATTGCCTTGTGTTGAAAGGTGCTATATAAATAAACTTGCCTTGCCTTGCCTTAAGGGGAGAGGTTGAGCGTCACCATGAAATGTGCAAATAGACATACAAATGAATAAAAGGGGAAAAAATGCTCCATGTTTTTTAGGCTGCAAACTTTAACTGTTATGTAAGCCAACTAAACAGACAGTGTATCACTCTTCCTCCTGTACATTAGCAGATAAAAGGCATAACATACTTGAATAAATGGTAAATAAAGAATGCTGGAAATAACTGCAACTCCATTAGCCTGTATGCTATGCAGAGACTGCCTTCTTAATGTCCTGAATTGCAGCTGATGTTTTAATATGACAATTGGCAATTTGACTTATACAACATTCACAAGTTGTACATTTGACTCATACAATAACCCACCTTCGAGTGATGCTCTAGTTTCTTCAAGTTTTGTTTTTTTCCCCCTCTTGCTTGCCCCGGACTGAAACTGTCTTTTCACCGACATCTCTTCACCTGCACTAGTGGCCGTATCAAAGCCGTGATTGGTCAGATGTCGATTCATTGCAACGGTGTTGGGTTACACACGTGCTCCCCTTGTCACCTCTCACTCTCGCGGGGGGTGCGCGGAGAACTGAGCGGAGAACTGAGCACAGCAGCTGAGGCCCTCTGGGCGGGGCCCCCTGCGCAAGGCGGGGCCCCATGCAGCCTGCGTGATTGGCCTGTAGGGAGGGGCGGCCCTGGTCTCAGGGCATCTTAATATTTAAAAACCTATTAATGTGTTATACCAGATTAACGAGAAGAATCTCAGCTAACTGACGATACGAACCATTTTTACCGAAACAAAACACAAGTCTCACAAGAAGCGTTAGCATTAGCCCTTAGCTAAAACGGGCAGATGCTACTTCCGGTGCTAACAAGCAAAAATGATCTTTAAAACTTCATATGTTCTGCACAAACTACATATCATCTGAAATCTGATACTCCACAGATTATTGTGTTATAAGTATCATCACTGTAGGACACAAACTCACTGAGCTAGCAGCCAGAACAGAGAAGAAAAAAACAACAGTTTTCAAAACCATAACAATAATTATGTCTTACCGTTGCTGTTTTGTGATCAAAGCTCGTGTTCAAGGGAATACAAACGCTGCTTACGGTTAATCCAATGTCTATTAGTCACTTTAGAATTGTTCCTGATAATCTATCATTACATTCATGGCAGCAGAGTAGGTATAAAGTTTCGCAGTCCCGAGCTAATGCTGTCTCACGTGCTGTTTACGCAAACCTCTCTCTACTTGACGTAAGTGTTTAGCGGGATTTACTAACTGTCACTCGATTATATTGGCTCTAACGATTCAGAAAAGGTGTAAATCACCCAAATCGACCAATGGGTTCCAAAGATATGATCCTGCGTAGTATAAACTACACCCGCTCCGGCTCCATTACGCATTACGCAGCCAGAAGGGAGAACTTCACCACCGAGGCGAGCAGGTGCTAGAGATGCTAGCTGACGATCGCGGGGCTATGATCATACCAGATGACTCTTCGTCGGATGATGAAGATCTCCTCCAGCCAGACCTGGATCCGGACAGTAGTGACTCGGATGTTGAACTTCCACCACGGGAAAGGTATGTAATCTCTCTGTTTTTATATATTATTTATGTGTTTGGTGGAACTGCGTCACAGTGCTAGCTTAGCCAAGAAGCTACAGGAATGATTAGGCAAAATGCTAAATAGTGTTACTTGTCTTTTTGGAGTTACATTTTCTAAATGAATGGCCAGTGAATGAATATATACATGTGTTTACTTATTTATTTGGTGTAATATTATTCATTTATAGTCCAATATTATCCTATAAGTATAAGCCAGTGAATTAATCTAATCTCTTTGTTTTTCCACATTTGTTAGATGAGGAGTGACCCCAGCAGGACAAAGCCACACACCCAGAATACTTTCAGGGAGCAGTTTGCTGCAGAATTGTTGGAGTTTGCTGAAGGCCCTGCTGAAGGCCCTGCACCTCCACCAACCCCTCCTCCACCACTCACATGCATGCCCGAGTATTATGGGGAAGATGCCACCAAGGTCAGGAAGAACTGCAGGAGGTGCCTAGATGCTGGACTCAAAATTGTGAAGACACCTGTGTACTGCAGGAAGTGCCACTGTAAAAAAAGAACTGTTTCAGGGAGTGGCATGACCTAAATACTGGAACATTCAGGTATAAAGTTCAGGTAGGTATAACGTTTTGCGAGTGTTTATTTTGATATACCTAGTGTGATTTTATTGTATAGTGTGTTGGTAAAATATTTGTTGTTTTTACATACTTACAGTGTGGTTTTATTGTATAGTACATTGGTTTTACATGCCTATAGTGTGTTGGTAAAATATTTGAAATAAATCTGCCCCAGTTGGAGTCAAATGTTAACTATGTTTCCGTTTTTTTTTTATTGTGCAAGTACACTTACACACAATGACCTACAGTGTAGTTTTATTGTACCTGTTGGTACAGTTACATACACACACAGCTACACTTACACATACACACCTACACATACCCACACAGCTACACTTACACATACACACCTACACATACACACCTACACTTACACACACACAAATATATTTAAAAAAAAAATATTTAAAAAAAATATATATATTTAAAAAAATATTTTTTTGTTTTGGGTGGAATGAATACCTATAGTGATGATTCAATGTAATGCAATGATTTTTATAGTCTGGTACCTGAAAAAGGTCAAATGGCACTGATGGAACCAAATGTGCCCAAAGCATATTCCGCCTGGACTTTATTTTCATAAACCTCTGTAAAAAGGTCAAATGTCACTTGTTTTGCCTCAATCTTGATACAGGGTACTTATTATGTTATACTTTGGATTCCTAAAGCTTTTAGGCTACTAACCCATCATTCAAGGTTGGTCTTCACTATAAGTAATGGGTTTTCTTTAGGCGGAGACAGGAATTTACATTTTTTTGCTATGTTCCATCTGAATTTACTCTGACACAGAAAAATCTATATTGATTCTGACACTTCTACATCCAACTCACAGATGTAACCTTGCTTTGATAACAACAATTATTCATATAAACCTTTTTAGAAGTGAAGTTAGTCATTTGTTCTGGGAATGTCATTTTCGAGCCTGAAACCTGAAAAACAGGCTCGGCGTTTAACAGGTTAAACTAAATATGCCACCTGTTCTTGGTGTAGCCGAAAGGGATGCATAAAGGCTGCAACAATGTCAGTTAAGAATTAATAAGCTTGAGGGCATGATGGCAAGTTTTGGCACAGGTCTCGACCAAGAGCAGTTGGTTGTTTTTATAAAGGGAACATCCTGCTTATTTCACTGCACTCACAGATAAGCCTTAATGCCTTGGGCCACATCCACTTTAATTGTGCTGCGAATATTCATAATAGAGCAACTGAAATATCTGCCTTGTAATCTTTTGAATTTTTGCTGCAATTATTACAAGTTATTTAGATGTATGTCTTAATATAGAGCATAAGTTGCCTCTGGAGGGGAAAAGATTATCAATAAAAACAATTCAAAGCAATCCTGTGAACAAAAAGTGAAATATTAGGAATGGCAGAAATTAAAATGTCAATAATAGTTTTAATCGATGCATGTTACATTCAATACCCATTGTGATGCTCCCACACATAATTGCATACATACATAATTTCTCGCAATCTCAGATGAGGAATGCAACAGACAACTTTTAAATGCCTTACACTATCATATATTTACATATTTATCCTCCGCTTCTGTACATGGCAAATCTTTAAATATGGAGGAGTAACTAGCATGTATGACTGATTGTATGTGGTTTCTTCGAAGCAATGTTACTTTTTCCTTCCAAAAAAAGGCATGTGCGCAAAGCACCGTCATAGAAAGTGAGTCACACAGTTAGACATGACAGGTTAAAAACTCCACGACGCCTCGTCTTCATTCGTATTTCACAAGATAAAACTCTTCCTTCAGCAGGGTTTTCTTTCAAACTGCACAAAAGTACAAAAAGGACATGAAAGGTAACCAATGGGAATAGAAAGAATCAACATAAAATGTGCTCAGTGCATTAAGACTTTCCAATATAACAAAGAGGAGTTTGCCCTGTTCCATCGCTGTGATAAATAAATTCACATTGTTACAGGCAGACAGTGAAGAGGGCTTGAATCAAAACTAAAGTACAGTGAGTCAACGGAAAAAACGTGAAGCAAATAAAGAAGAAAACGTGTGAAGGCTAAACTGCACATTTCTGTTGCCAAAACATTTAAATATTGGGTTTGAGTGAAAAAAATTGCTTTAATTACATAATAAGCCAAAATGCAAGCTATGTATAACACAAATAGCTGCAGTGAGTAAGTTGGCCTCTGAAGAGATCACTATAGATTTGTTTGGAGGAGCAGGACAGTTTAACTGTGATAAAATATCTGTGTGGTCATTTTGAATTAGCCCTGCAAAAAATATGTGCAAAATGAAGGAGTTTCTGTAACTAAATTCATTATAATTAGAACAAGAGTAAAGCAGTTCTAGGGTTATGTCTAGCCCAAATGGAGTTTTTATGGGGGTCACTATGACTCCTTGTAGTGTGTATGAATCGACTGGCTGAACAAGCATACATGTGACCACACACACACACTGCAGTAGGTTGTGAGATGGGATGAATGAGACGGCGTAGTTGTCAAAAATGGCAACGTAAGAGTCCTAGAAACCAAATACAAATATATAAAGAAAATCTTATGTGCTTGGCCCGATGTGTGAGGAAGACTTCAGCCGGTGTCTGCATGTTAAATGACAATGTGTTGTAACATTAGACGAAGGGTTAATGCTTTCAATCCCTTCGTGAAGCCACTTGCCTTAAAGCAGCAGGAGATGAAAAATGTTTTATAACGTGTGCATCTCCTTGGAGAGAAATCCAGCTGTGAATCTGTTTGATTAAAACAAAACCAGATATGCAGATTTTGGGACACAACTCTGTATTACCAAAGCATCGTGAAAATCAATTTCATCACAGGGTTTAGAGGACAAACTTTTTTACAATTTCAGAAAGGTCGACAGTGTAACTATTGCAGTTAAAGACAAGCAGGGACTCTTTTTTGCCACGAAGCATGATTCTAAATGGTGGGGGGGGGAGAGAAAGTCACTGTTGAGCTTCATCTTCAATGAGAGGCTGCGACAGAGAAATGCAGCTTTTCCCGACGTGGCTTGGGTTTTTGACACTTTGCTCTCGGAGTCAAAGGCAGACAGTGTTGATATATGTAGTCATATAAATAACAAACAGTACAGTATAAATATAAAGATCTGCGTGTGGTGTGTGTGAGTGTATGCACGCACAGTAAATGGTGTATGAGTATAGGACGAGAGAGTGTATGTGTGTGTATGCTGTAATGTGCGCTTGTGAGCCAGTGTTAGGACAGGGCTGGGGGAGGTTAGAGGTGAGGCTTTTCCTCCCCCACCTCGTGGAAGAGCGAGGTGTAAAACTCCGGCTCCAGCTGCTTGTTGCGGTAACGCTGGACTATCTCAGTTATTTTCTGCTTCCGCCGCACGTGAGGCGGGTTGTACAAGTCACTTTCCAGACGCTTCCGTCGGCACACGTTGATGACCGTTTGCCGCACGAGGAACCCTGAGAAGAGGAGGAGGAGGAAACGGGAGCTCATCAGCACAAGGTAGTCAAACATTTTTGAAACCGTGTACAACAGCAATTTCAGGAAATAGATGAATCCTATGACGACCATGAATATTTACAGCCACGTAAGATAAAAGGAGTCAAGCATAACATTTAAACACTTTTGTAACTGCTTTAACTGAAGGACAAGGTTCATATGTATATAGACATATTTGTATTTGTGTATATTAGTGCAGGGTATAAGCAGGAATCCTGAAGTCAAATGTAATACCTTTTAAGACCCTTTCCATACATTTTAAGACCTCATCGCCACTTGGAGTTTTAACCGGTTACATTGGCGACACATTGACTATATTCAGTATTGATTGTCCTTCCTCCTTATCTTCCAACCATTTGGACGCAAACTTGCATTTCCCCATAACGATGTTGTTTAACAGCCGGCGTAAACGGGCCTTCGCGCTATCAAGCAGTGAGCGTGCGATGTCCTGTTCAGATGACGTCAAATCCAACGGGATGCCATCAATAAACTACACAGAATCACACTACACACCTACGCAATGATTACATTCAGGCACACTGTAGAATACAACCTCTTTGGACCATTTATATACTTATTGAAAACAAGCTACAAAATGTAATACCTTGGAAAATGCCGTTTAATACTTTTTAATAGCCTTCATTTTCGCTAAATTAATTTATCAACTTTTAATACTTTTTAAGACCCCGCGGACAGTGGACACCCTGTAGTGTTTTTAAAAGCAAGCAAACACATTAAAAAGGACAAATGATGCTTATTTCTGGTTCATGTGTGTATTTTGTGCTTCTACTGTGACATTTTAACATGCTTTAATGTTCAAAAAGTGCTTCTCTGTTGTGATTGGTCAACTGCTGTGCGAGTGTTGTATAGCAATGTCATTAAGTGACGGAGACAAAGGCTTCCAATGGAGCTGTTTCAGGCAGGGGTGGAGTGTGTGGGAGAGATACTCTCTGAAGGGAACTTTTGGATTGCCACAAAGCTATAGAACACGCTGCTATAGGAAAGGGAAAACGCAATAAGGCTTCTTTAAAAAAGCGTCCAACTTTGCCATCTGCTGGCAACAAATTAAATGACATGCATGGAATGGCTTTTTCATGGTAAATGTTTGTTCCAGCATAGGGGATATGAATGCTGTAACATTTTGAACTTATTATTAACCAACTATTGCTGACCAATAACATTTCCAAAGGCTTTTTCAGTTGAATTTACCGACAGAAGCTCGTATATGCTGGCTCAAGTTAATGTTGGGATTAAAAAAAACACGTTAGAGATAGATAAAGAGAATGGTTACCTAGTGCTCTGCGGCTGACCACCATGCCGTCCACCAGGGGAATCACCATGCCGAATTTACCCACAGCTCCATGCAGCCGCATCCTGAAGAGTCCCGTCTTCAGAGGTTGGATGAAGATCAGAGGAACGTCCTTTTCCAGTAACCCTGACCTGCAGCAGGGGAAATTACAGGGCGATGATGGACGATAACTTCATGAAGAATAACGTTTGAGACGATACAAAACCCAATGCCAATACTATTTATACTTGCAAGGAACATGTTTCTTGACTAAGGTGCTAATATAGTAACACTCCACATTCAAAAACAATAGAGTGGTGCAGGAATAAGTCTTAAAACCCGGATATAAGTTAGCATTCCTCCACTTCAGTCAATGGTCTTTTGAAAATGTTTTTGGTTAGATGCCTGAAATAAGGTCTGGTGACACAAGCTCAAGAGATTTTCAAGTTTTGTTTTACCACATAAAATATATCAGTGAATACCCCATTGTTGAATATCTGACAACAAGTGGCTAAATGAGACGACCAAACGTCGTCATGCCAAAGACGATCTGCCTTTACAGTAGCTTAGCAGTGGTGACGTGATGTAGTACGGTCGGTTATAGCCTAACGTTAGCTTTTTACTTCTAGAGATTGCATTAACGTGGTGTTAATATGTGGAGATTTGACTGCTGAACAAAACATCCAAGTACAATAAACCTGTGTTTGCCACAGATCTTATTTCCTGCAACATTCCAAAATGGAATGGAAAAACCCCTTTGGATTTTAAGTAGAGGGAGCCCTTGAGTTCTCAGTCCAGTTAATTCAGTCTGAGGTTTGTGGACTGTGGTCCTAGGTCATTTCAATGTAATTATTTAAAGTCTAAGGGTGCATTCACACCAGCCTTGTATAGTCCGGTTGAATCGAACCCTGGTGCGTTTAGCCGCTTGGTGCGGTTCATTTGGGTCGGTGTGAACGCAGTCCGAAACCTCTGAAGTGAAATAAACAACCGGACTCTGGTCCGCTAAAATAGGTGGTCTCGGAACGCTTGCTTGCGAACTCTGGAGCGGTTCATTGCTGGTGTGAACGCAGTCCGCTCCAAAACATAGGAAGCGTAGTATTTACGAGTCACAAGAACGCGGATATCTTCACAAATCTTCAGCGAAAGAGTCTTTCAAGACAGGTTGTTTAGTTAAAGAGTGAAGCGGAATTAAGTGTTGAACAGTGTCGTGTAAAGTAAAAATGCTCCGTCAGCTAGGCCTACATAAAAGTAAGAACGCCTGTCGTCGGTGAAACGCCCCTCCTTACTGCAGAACGGCTCTCATTATATGTGTTATAATGTTTTTTAACGGACGTTGTCTGATTATATAATCATATGCGCGGGCCGCTAGTGTCTGTTGATCTCCAGACTAACAGCAGCATGAGAATAACCTGCCGAAAGTGCCGATGCTCCATGGCGGAGGCTCCGGTAGAAATTGCCGTGATTTGCGTTTTTACCCCCTTAATGTCTGACCAATGGTTGAACAGCATTTCCGAGCACATGACTTGTGTTTTAAAGTGTATAGTCCGTTTGAGTTTTGCCCGTGTGAACCATGGATGTATAATAAGAAGGTGTGAACGCAAACCGAACCTTCTGAAAAATGAAACAATGTAACAAACTGTGGTCTGGTGCGCACCAGAAGCGGACTATTAGGTGTGAATGCACCCTAAACGTCTTTAAAGTTGCATTGTATCTCAACCTTAAAAAGCTTAACTAAAACAACCTACATATTATTCATGTTTCACAAAAACGGAATCGTTTTCAAAGCTACTTCACACTTCCTTCTTCTGCACACACTGCATGTACTTCCTGTTCTGCACTCTTTGTTTCTTATCCTGCATGTACACACAGTGTGTTTTTGCGGAAATGCTTTTTTTTCTTTACTTATTTTACACCTGGCAGAAACCAATTCAGAAACCATATGTTCTCCTTTCTGTCTGCAAAGTGTTGTGTTTGCGAGCGTCTGTATACCTGCAGGAAGTGCTGTTGCTCATGCTCCCCTCCAAGCCCGTGCTGGTTTCCGCCAAGAGGTCAGACAGAGGGAAGTTCTCTAAAACACAAACACAATGACGTTCATGTCACTTGATCCATTAGCCATACACTTAAGAAATGTGTTTTTATACAGGCACATTGTAAGGCTACAGAGCCTATTTGTTTTGCAATATGTTTGAGTTAATTATTTTATATTTAAAAAATTGTATTGCATAACAGTTGCTCCACTATAAAATAAAAATAAAAATATTTGTATAAACAAAAGAAGTACAACTATCCACATTGTACTACAATGTATTACATGTATATAACAATAATGATCAAACAATATGAAAAATGTAGGAAGAAGAGTTTTTTCCTACCGATATCATCGAAGCGCTCCACCCAGACCACAAACACCTTGGTCTCGGGACCCAGAGGTGGGAAAGACTTTCCAGTGGACGACCTCTTCGACTTCACCAAAGGACTCAGCTGCAGAAATAGCACAAAACACAGTGAGTTTAAGCAACATAAAGCAACTAGACATTCTTATCAGTATATAGTTCAGATACACTAATACTACCTTTTTGGCAGACTCCAGGTTTTCTGAATGGTTGGGGAACAGCTCCAGTGTGAGATTGGGTTGTTTGAGTGACCCGGGCACGATGTCTGCGTTAGTGTCCGCCTCCACGGTGGAGTCGCTGTGCACCGACGACTCCTCTGGGGAACATCAAGGGAACAAACAGCAGCTCTGTCAACTCTTGTTTATTTGATATCCCACACTGTCCTATCTACCTGTCCTATCTACCTGTCCTATCTACCTGTCCTATCTACCTGTCCTATCTACCTATCCTATCTACCTGTCCTATCTACCTGTCCTATCTACCTATCCTAGTTAGGTAGGTGCATTTTTTTTTTATTGTGCAAAAGATTAAAAAAAACGTTATCTAAGTGGCTGCCATTATATGATCTGTTTGAATACATAAATGATAAGGAAAGAAGCTTCAATGCTTCCTATATAATCTCCTTTAGTATAGGATACACTGGACTATCTTTACGAAAGGAAAGCAGATAATGCTGTCCCACAATTCCTAGCATCCCCAACGTTCGAAGTGACGAACCATTTGGCCGTTCCTAGAAACAACAGGTGGTCAACATCCTCAAATGATGTAATTTACCTTTCTTTTTAAGCATTTTTCATCCTCCATATCTTTCCAAAATGCTTATATGTGTTGATATTGACAATCATTTAAACCATAAGGCAAACTATGAAGTCAATACTGTAAAATAATCAAATATAGTCAACATTTCAAGTTCTTTACTGAGTTGGTTGGTGTTTCTTCAGATTTTGCTTTTTTATTCTAACATGTTTTAATGCCAATACGCAAAGTAGTAGTGAATACTGACCAGAACTTTCCGATAACGAAGGAACAACGAAGGCAATCTCTGTCAGAGCATCAGCATAGTACAACACTTTCTTCTCCCCGTTGAACATGGAGCCTCCTGTGTCCTCGGGAGTAGCTGCGTCCTCTACAGTGTCAACAAAAAGTTAGCATTGTCTTAGTTACTGCAAAAATCCAACATATAGATAAATGGCAATTATGTGCATTACCCGTTTGTTGGAAATCAGTGCTGTCGGAGCAGGAGTTCAGGGACCAGCTGGTGTCCAGGTGTCCCGTCCAGCCCGGGTGGCGTCCCACGTCCACAGGCCAGCCCAAGGACAGCAGGAACTCCAAGAAGTGGGGTTGGACGCTGGACGACGACTCCACATTCCTCAGGATCTGAAATGTACCAAATACTTAGTGTAAACATCTGCACGTTTTCACGGTGCCTAATTTCAATTAAAAGTAATGAAAAGGGCAGCAGAAAGTCATATTTTAACTTTTGACTTTGTTTTCTCATGGTTGAATGTACTTAATGAAAGTAGAATTGGATACAAATGTCAGCCAAAAATAATGTTATGAAAATATTTGCCTAACGTCCCGGTCATTTACAGTTTACTGTTTAATTAATCCGTTGCGAGTCCCCTTACCTCCGGGCTGCTTTTCTGTCCAGCCCTCACATAGAAAATAAAGACGGTGTCAAAAGGTCGGCATGGAAGCAGGTCTAGGTAGCTTATGTCATCAAAAAACCCGGGCAACGAAGACTCCAGGCCAATCAGATGAGGAGGTAGACGACTGTTGTTGGGCTCCTATTAATAATACACAAATAAACATAAATTCTAAATTAACACTAATAACAATCCTATAAATGTATATATATATACACATACATACAGAACACTATAATTTTCAATAGACCACAACCTTAAATAGAGTTAAAATGCAAAAGTAACGTATTAGTAGCCGGAGGACTTTTTTCTCATCAGCCAATCCTGTACCGACCTTGAGCGCCTCCAGAGACAGAAAGCCGAAGTGTGAGAGGAAGAGGCGAGCTGTTTGGAACTCCTGCGCGGGGGACGGGGGTTTGCAGTCCGTCTGAGGGTCGGGGTAAGGCTTGGACTTCCAGATCTCCTCGCTGTGTCGCTCCAGGGAGTTCTCGTACTCCATCTGCTTTGTCATCAGAGCCCGGAGCTTGTCATGTTGCAGTTCCAGCTAACGGAGAAGAAGAAGAAGGGGGTGGCCACATTTTAAGACAGATTTTGAGATGGTTTTAAAGACGCTGTTGCTCATGAAAGGCACCTGATTGGATACATTCAGCATTAACCCATAAAGACCCAGTCCAAACACTGAAGTGTGCACCCGTGCTTTAAAACATTAGTATCAAACATTTTATTGGAAAAAACAACTACCGTAAACTCGATCGAATATTGGATTTGATTGAGGTTGCAGTAGCTGTTTTTTCCAAGTACAATATCTCTGCAAAAATTCCCTATTTTCTAAGCTTTAATCTTTGAGAAGTGGTATTGACTCATCTCTGTTGTCACTTTTCACACTGTGGTTTTACATTAAAAGCTTAAAATGATTGCAAGGTTGTTGAATTGGATTGAGAAACAGGGTTAGGGTTATCATCTAAAATCATTGCATGTCTTCCACCAAACCAGTTGATTTGACCCTTTTTCCCCCCCAAGAGACACCAAAGTGAAACGTCATCTCTCCAACAACTCACGTGTGGGAAATGACTGATCAGAGCATTTGTAGCTCTTGATTCATCCAGCCAGCCCATACAACCCACCTGAGTTTGTATGATAACACATCATATGAGGGATCACTTTAGTCTATAGTGGTATTTATATCCATGACATCAAACTGGTTTCAGCTTGTGCCCGAAGTAGAATAGAATCCTGTATTGATCAATTATGTGGATACAATATCAATGACATGGTTCAGCAGGAAGCGGATCTCACCTCTTTACTGACAATGTCATCCAAGTCAGGAATACTGACGTCCGCTTTGACCAGAGGAATCTTATCCACCTCTTCGGGGAAGGGCCTCTGCTTCACGTTGTACTTGATGCCCACACCGTTGTTGGGTTTTGGACGGCCCTCTGGAACAAACACCTGCTGCAGGAGGAGAGGAGTGGATATATGGATATATATATATATATATATATATGGAGCGGGGTTGTGTTATCAACTGAACAGATGTGGAGTTTTTACAACAGAAACACTCAAGCAGTCATTTTAACAACATTTCTGATAGACTTGCAGCAATCGATCAGTCACCAATGTCCTATTTCAGATTTGTTGGCGGTCAAATGTACCAACATGTGCCGAATGATGTGTATATGTCACAAACATGGCATCCCAGACAGTAACAGCCACACATACTAACCATGCTGTTAGTATGGAAGCTCTATAGAATGAGTGAAGAAGAAGCAGTCCTAAATTAGGAAAGTATATTAAAATGGGAACTGCCTATTTTCCACCGGCTACGTATCGTTGGTTAGTAGTTATCTCCAAGCCGGTAACATGAAAACAGCTGGATATTGTTTATTTGCACACACTACCCACACTGCAAGAAACATTTGAAAAATGTACTGTTTTTCTATATAAATATGTTGTACGTCCTTTATTTTGGGAAGGTAAACCTGTTCGATAGGGTAGGATAATCTGCGATTTATTTTCATTGGATTATATTTCTCAAGGGACCTTGAAGCAATTATATTTTGAAATGTGTAAGAGTGAGAGAAAGTTTAACTTGGTGCAGTTTTACAGAACATGTAAGTGTAATTGTTTTATAAAGAACACACAAGTACATTAGATTTTCCAACAAAAACAGCTACACAAAAGTTTGTATATGCTGTCAATTATATTTCAAATTCTGTCAATTACAGCAACAAAAAAAAAAAAGGGAATTTGCAGGTTAGACAAGAAATCTGATAAAAATAAGCAATTGTTGCATCTCTTAGTCCTGGATTAGTATTGGTGACGTTGTCTATCATGATGCAGTAAACTACAGGTAGTTCTCACCCTCTGATTGGCCCGAGCTCCTCTGGGTTGGTGGAAGAGCTGCATGGTCCAGGCATGTCTGCCTGCCGTGCCTCGGATCAGAACCGTCACTGATGGACTCGGGTCTGAGGAGACAGTCATTTATTTTACTTTAATGACAGTCTCTGCTTGTACAATAAAATATTAACCAATCCTATATCTCAATAAACTGGTGTAAGGTCAAAGGGTACTGACTCTGCTCATTGCCGAGGGGTTGCTCCAGCATGGCGAGGATGACCGAGTTGTCCAGGACGAAGTAGCGGAAGTTGCTGGCTCCCGTGGCGCTGAGTCTGGCGTAGCGGATCAGGGTGTCTTCATTCAGCAGGCTGCAGGTGGAGGCGGGCCCGCTGGGGGAGGGGAAGGCCCCCAACACCTGCATGATACTAGGGGACACCACAGAAAACTGGGTCAACAGGGAGGGTCAGCCATTTTAACTTTATTTAACAGCCATCTGTGTGGGAATTCAGCAAAACTAGGTCATTGTATCAGCAGAAAAATAGAACAAATACAACATTTAAAATAAATACTAAGACAGAAAGCACAACATTACTTTTTTTAATGCAAATGTTTTGTAAACAAAATAAAACGTGATATTCAGATGTGTTATTAATAACATGAATTTTGAAAGGAAGTATTTTAATTCATGTTTTATACATTTGAATCATCATATTTGTGATGTCATCACCCTAACAGATTGTGTATATATACTTCAAAATGTGATTTAGAGGATTTATTGGATTAAATGTGGTTCTTTTGTGATGATATATTTTTAGTGTTTTAAGGAAATAATCAGAACCAGTTTTTATGACCAAGTAGGTTTACACATATGAAGAATTTGCTTTGGTATATGTGGTTCATACAAAGACACAGAAAGAAGAGTAAGTAGCATAAGTAAATTTAAAAAAAAAATACGACATAACAATGACAGCTATTCTAAAAAACTATTTGAAGACTATTATAACAAATAATCATTATCTAAATATGACAAATACTATATACTGTATTGACAACTGACATAATGGGGCTCTGCAAGCTATTTAGCATACAAAGCAACATTAGCAGTGAGGATGTGCTCCTCTACAATAGACATCTGTCTGCTAGCTTGTCAACAACCATGGTTCAAATCAGGATACGCGTCTAATACAAATACACTGCTGTCTGGATGTCAACCTGACAGAGTCGATGGAGCGTTAATGGTTACTGTTTTATGAAAGTTACAAAAGTTTGATATATGCAAAGACGTTCTTTGCCTTAACACTGGATTCCAAAACACATAATCCAATAAATCAAGTAAAGGTTTTCCTTTTTAAACCAAAGCACTTTGAAAATGTCGATTAAATAGAGTGGTACACAGTGTCTTAAGTATATTGAAAAAACGTCAAATCAGATCCATACTGTAATCGTCTTTTGAGGAATCTCACCAGGATAAAGTGGCCTCCGCAGCATCCTTCACCCTCATTGAGGCCGGGTTGTGCTCCTTCTCCCCTTTATGTCGGACTTCCAGTTCCTGTCGAGACTTACTGCCAGATATTCCCAGCTCCACAATCTCCAACACCTCTACCAGACAATCCTGATGCAAAAAGAGAAAAATGATAGACAGAACCACAGACAAAGAGTTTTCTTTCCACATAAATGAGGCTAAATGTTAGCATCATTTCTAAATTGTTCATTTGAGAGAAATGGGAATTCTCTGTATGTTTAAATGTTAAATTCAGTCTTCACCTTCTCATCCAGCATGTCGGGGTGTTCTGTGAGCCACACACAGAGAAACTGGAAGGCAGCTACAATCATGGAGTGGAGGTCTCGGGACTGGAGGGGAGCTGGACGGCTGCACTGGTACACGATGTACCCACATATAGAGCTGACGGCCCGCTTACGGTCTGCAGAGTCTACTCCCACCTTCACCTGCGTAGAAAATACAGGAACATTTATTACTGAAGCTACAATATAAAATGATTAATGTAATGCAGCTGTAACGTTTTTTGTATGCCTTGATGCTTAAGCAATTGTCCGATTATTTGGTACAGTATTTATTTATTTTTTACAGTATTTATAGAATTAGCATTTTTGCTCATTTTAAATAAAGTCTTAATTTTGCCTTGACCTTTTCTCACCCTGCTCCTCAGCAACCCTAGTTTATGTAACATCAAGTGTCACATATTTGAATTTACAGCCAATTACTGTACATTTGACTTATTGTACATACATTAGGGGTGTTGAGTCATTTCTACGATGCATCGCGATGCGGACGTGGACGATTCTGCATCGATGCAGTGACAGAACATAATCGGTTATAGCGTAGTAACGTTGCTTCCTGATCTTCCGGCCGCGGCTGGACAATAACGTTTTTTTATCTTTTTTCTGTCACTTTAATATCAAATCGGTCGGTGACGCAGAGATCAGGGAACAGACGTGACAGCGGCACAGCGAGTCCAAACACGGAGCAGTCTGCTTTATCCACCAACACAACACCACCAGTCCAGAACCAACAGCAGAAGGACCCGCTCTGAATCAGTCCGTGTCGCTGCGGCTCAGACACACACATCGATCTATGTTTTTGAAAAACACTCGTTGTCGTCATGTCAGGTTTTTGGTGGAGTTAATTAAGTGTTAGATTGCAGAGTATGAATGTCCTCTTGCTATTTTCAGACGATAAATACTTGTGTAAAGTCAGGGCCGGCCCTGACCAATTTGCTGCCCTAGTCAAGATTGAAGTTATCAGAGCCTCTCAGTCTTTCAGGAGAGAGCTCTCTAAAGCTGCTTATACAGTAAATTCCAATGTTAATAAAAACACACACAAGCTGTATACGTTTTTTGGGAGTTTGATTTACTTTAAATGAACACTAATACAAAATTAAAACCTATAATTGCACACAAACCATTATTTTAAAAAAAAATAACAATTTCACATAAACCTCTGGTTTTTACTGGGGCTGGGGCAGTTCAACTTGATTTTGGGGGGGGGGGTGCGCCAGTTTATGGGCGCTGTACGCAATATAGGCGTAGTTATGTTAGTATAAGATATTTTGTTTTGTTATGAAATAAATTTAAAAAAAAAGAATTCTTTAATTTCTAACTTTTTTTCACCCCAGTTTTTGGTGCCCCCGATGGGTTGATGCGCCCTTAGCATTCGCCTATACTGCCTATGCCAAGGGGGGCCATGTGTAAAGTTTGTGAAGGCAGGAGGAAAGCTTCCACGATCGCCGTCTCCTCCGTTCCTCCAAACCCCGCCCCCTCCCTGAAAATAATGAGTGACAGGCTGAGAGTGACCCGATAGAAACTTTATTATTCACTAATTGAGATATGATGAAGCTAACTTAATCCCCTACAATCATGGGATTTATGTAACAGTAAAACAGAGAATGTAAGTGTGCACCCACATCCACATGCACTATTTTTGTTTTTATATGCTGTTGTAAATACTCCTGTTGTCTGCTGTGTTCAGACTCAAGTCCTGTGTGTGATGCCACATTCAGGACATTCAGTGTCCTTTTTTTAACAGAAGACCGTTGCTAGAAGCTGCAGCTAAACTGCAGAAGCATTATTTTTTGAGGATGGAACAACTTCACACACAGATATAGGGAGGCTAGACCTATACAATTCATTTATTTTGGTTTATAAATGAATGTCAATACATTTATGTTATTGATTTCTGAAGCACTTTCTAAATAATAAAAAGGGAGTTCATATGTATTTACTGCATGTATTCATTGATGAAAAAGAAGCCATGTGCAGTAATATAGAAAATTGAGGATGCAACGCATTGTTATGCATCGGGATGCATCGGGATGCGTGATTGTTACACTGCAGTGTACTGATGTTGTGCCTTTACCTTGGCTAGCCCCGCCAGCAGCTCCAGTGCAGCCAGTGAGATGCTCATGTCCTGCCTCCACTGGGAGTTGAGTCTCTGGGTGACCAGGTGGATGCTGCGCACCAGCAGGCCCGCCGCCGTATCTGCAAGAGCTAGACCATATAACACCCGGAAATACCAAACACCGCGAAGAGTAGAGCAAAGCAAGAGTCAGGCAACGCAGTTTGAGGCAAACAGGACAACAGCAAAAAAATGCCTTGGTATTCATTTTTTAAACATGCATTAGGAGTAGAGTTTAAAGCACATACAAAAATACAGGTAGATAAAACGCTGAGAATTAGGGCTGAGCGATCAAGTTTTGACTTTAAAAGAATCATAAACTTTGTGTGTGATATATTCTTCCAAAACTGACTTTATTAATAAAGTACATGCGAACGCACTACAGGAAAGGGAAAACCCCCCCAAAAGCATAAAAGGGCTCATTCAAAATAGTTAAAAAAAATAATAACAATCAAAAAGGATCAACCACTGGACGTTACACAGCCTTAAGTAAAGGATGTGACACAAGTAGAATGATCTCTTTCCATAACCTCCACAGTAACTATTGGTGATGGTGATGCTTTGAAATGTAATTGCGTGAGGCTTCTGTATAAAACCTGTGTAAGATTTACATCTGGCTTCATTTTTGTTATTGTTTGTTGAGCAAAAGAATCCCAAATCATGCTGAATTGGCTGCAGTTGTCTTCAAACCCCCTCCCTCTCTCAAGTCTTGCTGCTTCCTGTCCTGCACCGGGCCTCAGAAATAACAATGAGACAGGAACAACAGGAAACCCCCCACCCGCTTCCTGCTGGACAGTCGCCCATGATCAGCAGTGTTCAGTAACAAGTTGTGGGAAAAAATGCAATAAGAGCAAAAAAAAAAAAAAACATATTCTTTAGTCAAACATCACTCAGCCCTACGGAAGAAAACGAGAAAATCCTCCCATCACTCAGAGACAAAAAAATGCATTTAGCTCAAAAGAATCTGCAAAACAGCACAGCATCACGGCAAATCACTTTGGTATTACCTACAGAGACATTTTACCCAACGCTTCTTAACTCTGCATACCACTTTAACCACGTTAGCTATGAGGAACAAATGTGTTAACATGTTTTGCAGGGAAAAACAAGCAGGTACCGATAACAATCACATAATATTCCAGCCTCCAGTTATGCGCCATCTGCCTAAAGGGTTAATTCAGCGAGCAGGAGGAAGGATATTAGTTTAGTGGCTGCGTGTCTTACCGTAGTCTCGCAGCAGGGCCTGGCCAGGTCTCTCAGAGTCGGGGCTGGTGGCCTCCGTGCTCCCCCCGCTGTTGAAGCTGATGCCGCTGTTGGTGCGGCTGTGACTGTGACTCCTCACCGCCATGTGGCTCCCGTCTATGCTCCCCTGTCAGCACAAAAACACAGCCATCTTCAAGTCCCCGACGCTGCTTCTGACGTTATAAAAAGTTAATCGTTCATCCGAGCCTTACCGTTTCAGTCTGTGCACCTATTGACTCCAGCAGTGCTGAGTCTTGAACAATGTTTAGCATTGCACCTGAGGGGAGGTAAATTATTAAACAGTGCATAGAGTAAAAGGCCATTCATTTACTGAAAAAGATGGACTTGTTAAAATACCATTTTGAATAATGTATTGTAGTGCTGCAGAGAAATTCTGGCCTACAAATCGTTTTCTACAGATTCAAGAAAACATTTTTGGTACAGATCCTCTTAACAAATAATCACACCTCGATTGCTTTGATAACATTTCAATTATAATGAGAATATGCAAAAATGATCAATCCCTCCAATATGGTGAAACATATCACAATTTCTATATCACTCAAAATAAATCGCAATTTTCCCGAATCGTGCAGCCCTAATGTTAACACAGTTCTAAGTCACATGTCCTTTGGCTCACTACAGGGACACTGTGGCATGTTCTCTGCAGGGACTGGAAATCTAAACATTTACCCCCTAAAACAAAGACGTCCATTAAGTCATTCAAAATAAGAACAAGTAGAAGCAAAATAAGTAGATCAGATACCCAGGATGAGCTGTGTGTTGGTGGGGTCCGTCTCAGTCTGAAGGGCTCCTATGAGGACGTTGACGAGACGCAGCCTCAGGGACAGGAAAGACACGGGCTGGTCATGTGGCCACCCATCCTCCTCGTTGAACTTTCCTTCCAACAGAACCTGAAGCACAAAATCAACATAGTAGGGAATAAAGCTGCACAATGAATTTGCAATATGGACATGTGCATTATTCAAGCCGCAGTCAGCACAATATTTGGCTAAATATGTGTTAATATCAAATCGCATTTTCTACAAACTTAACAAAACATATTTGTTTAGTACAGATCCTCTATAAAAAGAAAATCTGATCATTTAAAAATATATTTTTCAATGATAATGAGATTTATGAATCAAAAATTATAAATCTGTTCTATATTGCAAATCATATTACACTTGCAGAGTCCTGTTTCCAAATCATGCACCCCTAGTAGAAATCGGACTACAAGTGGCTTTATGGTGCAGAAAATGTTTCAACAAAGATTAAATAAGCGAAGGCAATGACAATAAATGCTTCAATTAACTAATGAATTAACTCAAATGTACAGAAACTAAAGCCGTACCTCTGATTTGATGTTGCCAAAATGATGCGGCAAAGACAGCATGGTAAGCAGGATGTTGATGGAGGCTCTCCGCAGGTCGGTGGGATTTACGTACATCTTGAATTTGGACAGCTCCCTGTCAACAGCAAAACAAATATCATGGGCTTCAAGAAACTTAAGACAATATTCTCCAAACGTCATACAGTTACATAGTAAATAAAATATGCTTATTACATGAAAGAAAAACCAGTCTGACCTGTCTGGTACAATAGTCTCCAGGGCAGCTATAAAGTAGGGCACCAGCACGTTGATGCCTTTCAGGTCGGTGCAGAACAGAGACGAAGAGTTGAGGATGATAGAAGCCAGAACTGGTCTGCAGATAAAATCTGAGATCTGGAGACCCTGAATCAGGACCATGTAGAACCTGCATGAAAACAGGAGGAGTATAGTTTTGCAGTTTAATATCTTAGCAGTTGAAAAGGCACTAATCCCATGCTGAAACTAGTTTAAAAGAAAATGTGGCATATTAAAAAAAGAAAAATTGCAACTTGCACAGAAGAAATATGCAAGTATATGCAGTATTTCATGTAAAGGTTTTTTAATTAAAATGTCTGTTTTCCCCTTTCAATAAGCCTAAAACAATTTGTACATATTGCACTGAAACTATACTCATTGGATTGGATTGCAGTTTTAATATATTTTTTTTATATTCTACGTTCACACTTGTATAATCTCTTTATATATTTATTCTTAGTAAAACATTGGTCTATTACAGTTTATTCTAAATTATTCTGTATATTTTATATTCCACAAATACCATAGATATTTATATTTCTACTGTTGATATTTCTATATTTATTGTTACATTTCATTTTATTATAGTGTAGTAATGTGCAGTGCCTTGTTAGTATGCTGCTGTAACACATTTGTATAAAGTCTCTACTGTATTCTATTATAAAACTAATTGTCTAGGTTACCTGGACAGGTAAACGGGCAGAATGTCTTCTCCGGTCTTCTTGCTACAGAAGATGCGGCAGAGCGTCCCGCAGGCCTCCGCCCGCCCCGCCTCGTAGCTCTCTGGGAACTCGTTGGCATCGAACATGGGGTTGGACACCATGGAGTCGGTGGACATTTGGGAACCCTTCCTTCTCAGCTCCAGACCTACTTGAGTGGCTATCGCTGTATAAAGTGATGAGAAAGAGAGCATGAAAGGACCCTGAATTGTAAATGTGGTCATTAGCACACATGCATGTATGAGAAACAAGGCAAACATGTAGCTACTTTACGCACAATACAATAAAAAAAAAAGGTAAAATGAAGAAAAAGCAGACATTTCAATTGCTATCACAAGAGAGAACCAGTCACTTCATTTGAAAGCATTCAAAAGGGAACTCTGACACAAAGAGCTTACCACCTATTGCTGGCACAAAGTATGACCAAGTGTAACATGCTGGTCATAAAAATACAAATAAAATTGCAAGGCCACAAAAAGCTAAATCCCTGTGTCAGCTTCCCTCGCTGTTGCAATTTGATGACTCAGGTACAGATCATTCACTTCATGCATTGAGGCACCAAACCGATAAAATCATAACTCAAGTGACAATACAAAAAGGAAAAATGACATCAAATAAATGCTGAACCTGAGGAGGGTCTGACACTAAATAATAAGGATTAGTGTGACACAAAACAAATAAAAATGAGAAAAAAACATGATGGCGTTGTCACAAACTGGCAACGTTGTTATGGTTGAGACAAGTGGTCAGTTGGTGAAACCCATTCCATCACCTTTGGAGAAACGCTGAGATAACGCTGGTGAAACGTTTATATATATATATATATATAGATATATATATGACAAGCAGTGGGAACGGAAAACAATGGGCGATAATGGCGATGGATCATGAGGAACTTAACTGAAAAGCAGGAAGAACTGTCAACGAAACGCAAATCAAGTGAGGAAAAAAAAAGAGCTGCCGTTCCTACTTACAAGATTTATAAGAAAGGAGAATTTGGATAAAAGAGGCTGCAAGATAACAGAAATAGTGGAGAGACACAAAATCAAAGCATATCCAATATTTTGGGGTGAATTCATATCACGCATGAATTGTGTTTTTCTCCTCAATACATGACTTTTGACCTATTACAACTCTTAATCAGACATGGTAGACACATGCAGGACACCAAAAAGAGAAAAATAAATGGAGCCAATAAAAGCCAAATTTCTATTCAAATGCAATGTATGTACGGGCTGAGATTGATCCTGTAGCAACGATTTTACCAATAAAATAACAGTAAAAAGTCATTAGCATATGGTTATAATCTATATAAGCCAGGTTTAAATAGTCGGTGGATGTAAATGGATCAGAATCAGATGGAAATCTCATACTAGGCCACTGTGAGGCCAATGGTGAGAAAGAAAAACAAATAGGATAGGATATCCCAACGCCATACAGTAAGAAAAAGAAAAAGAAAAAACAGACACTTAAAAAACGAATATAACTCCACAGAAACATGTACTAATGAACAGCGACGAGACACCCACCTGCCCATGCATTAATGTAACGCTATTAACATGGGCTGGCTTCTTACCGGTCATGCTGGGGTCTCTGCTGAGGCCGCTGTGGAGCTTACAGTGGACCAGGGCCGCGTCGAAGAGCCACTGGCCGAACAGGTTGAGGATGCTGTTGACTTTGGGACGTGCCGGGGCGGGCAGGGGCCGAGACTCCCAGCTGCTCTGGTTGGGGCTGGAGAGCAGCGTCGGGGAGGAGGACGTCTGCTGCTGCTGCTGCTGCTGCTGCTGGGACCCTTTGGTTGGTTGACTGCCACTGCCCTGCAGGGGGGGGGAAGGGACATTTGATTAGGCTACAAAAAAGATTAGCTCAGTTGTGCCTGCTACTGACATTTTTTATTTCCTTTGGTGGAAAAGTTGTCTGGGCTTTCTTTGGCACTAATCTGAAGAATGGGTTCGGTTGGGGTTGGGGTAAAGGGTTTGGCTGTTTTTTCTTTATATTTGGAATTTCTAATATTTCTAATATCGTCATATTACAAAGACTACATATTGTATGATAAAAAGTTGAGATTTATTTTTATAATTAACACCTGAAATGATGACGGCCTTTATAAACAAATCAAGGTAGTACAACAGGTAAAGCATACTTTAGTGATTCATTTGATATCATTAGTTTTCATTAAAGAACACCATCACAGCACAATCAAGTATTACGATCTGTAAACTGATAACAAGTGTAATATCAAAGTTATGTCCGTTTTTCAGAAATGACATTTAAATAACAGCATTTTTCTAATTATGTTTCTATAAACAAATCCTGATTATGAGTATGTTCCCAACACGTTGTGGACTTTAGACCAATTGACATGTGTTGTAGCCTTTTTCTCATCTATTTAAATGTATTTCTTTAAAACAAATATGTAAAAATATGTAAACCTGACAAAGCAAACACACTAGCGTAGTGCGTCTAGTAGATCTGTCTGTAGATCAACCATGAATTATGTCACAAGAATAACAGAAACTTACCGTTGAACTCTTGCTCGTGGTTTTGGTGACCACTGTATGCCGTTGCTTGCGGCTGTGGGGGGGTGTGGTGTTGGTGATGGAGGGGGGCGGAGACATGCTCATTCTGTTGACCGGGGTGGGCGGGGCACTGTCAGATCTGGGACGTGATATACCTGTGGACAGGAAGTAAAAATCAGCTGGGATATCAAGTTCCGGTTTTTCCCTCCAAAGCAGGGAGTTAAAAAGATTTCTGATTAGCAATACTTCCACTTGTTCGGTGGACAGAACTTGTTAAAATAAATCATTTAAAGCCATTTGACCTATTTCAAATGTTATGACCGATCAAAGACAGAACTCATTGGTTGACATGCAAGACAATGGTTAGATGCAAATCAGAAATCATTGACATCCATCCATTTGATTGACTTTTTGCCCCTTGTTGATGATCTTGTAAGTTAATCCGAATGCCAGGAACATTTCATTTGAGTTGTTAATACCAGCACCACCGGTAATAGACTCCATCATATGCCCATCTCATTATATGATGTATCAACTGATGTGGGTACCATGAGAGTGCAGCACTGGAGAAAAAGTGAACACCCTCTCCCGTACATCTTTCTTTTCAACAGAGACACCTACAGTGTGAGGAGAAAAATCACATTTTCTTTTCAAATCTTTAAACATGTAATACCGACGGACTTCCTCCATTAGGATTTTACTTGGGAGTACTGCCAGGTGTAAAAACTAGAAAGGAGTAAAGCTGTTAAAAGAAAATAAATAGCTGTCAATGTATTAAATCTATTTTTCTTTTTGATTTTGTGTGTAATTTGTTACTGTCCAGTAGGGCTGCATGATTTGGGAAAAAAATAACTTATCTTTTGACTTTTACTTAGTTTCACTGATATTGCGATAAGCCATATTATTAGATTGATCACTTATGGAATATAATTCACAACATCATTAAAAGATCCATTAAAATTATCACATGGGGCTTTTTTCCAAAATAAGATTTTTTTTATGAAGTCCATAGAATGTATTTTGTAGTTTGGACTTACATTTAAAATAATATTTTAGTTGTATTAAACAACGTACTGAGATATTGTTTATTGCTAAGTCAAAATGTCAATTTGGATACATTTTAGATTGTTTGTGCAGCCCTACCGTCCAGCCATGATTGACATTATTGACTTTGTTACAGTATGAAACATTTTTTTAATCAATTTTAAAATAGGTAGTAATCATAAAAAAATGCGTCTACTTGATGTTTTTGTTAAAGTATGAGTATTTTGCATGAAGTTAGGATGAACACATAAACAAATCTTAATCTTAACATGGTTTGTAGTGCCTTAGAAAGAAGGTGCACAAATCACAGCTTGACTGTCCCATGACTGAGCTTTTCATTCGAAAGTCTTTACCTAAGAATGCATCCACTAAGCAGCTGATGCCCCTCATGGCCCTGAAGAAGATCTGGGGCAGCTGTTTCAAACACGGATGCAGCACCACTTCATGAGGGATGCCGCTGGAGTTTAGAAACTGTTCCTGAAACTTCGGAGTGGTGCTCACTATTGCAGGGTTGCTCAGGTCCACTGGGTTGCTGGAAACAAAACAAAAGGAAATTCAAGGAGAAAGAAAAAGCTAACAGACAGCTGCTAAAGCTCATTGGACATTTAAAAAAGTATTCCCTAAACTACTGAAAACATATCTCCCAAATGTAAGTAAAACTATTGACATAAATCTTGGCTAATAGCTCCCACCTTCAACTTAACTCAAGATAGTGACCTTTTTATTGCCAACTGCTGTCTGCTTTTTATGCTGTTGTTTCTTGTGATTGACATTTCTGGTGGTGGACACTAATGATCTATTCTATTCCTATTTTAGCACCTTAGCATGTGGAGGAAGCGGTACCACGTCTGGGCCACACAGTCGTTGTCCATCTCTAAAGGGATCAGGCTGGCATCTTCATCGGGAACTTTAAAGGGCGGGAAGGATGGTCCATGTGTAAAGCGCAAGAGCCTGGGTAGAAGAAATGATACAGGAATATGCAGATTATCACACAGAGCTAAGGACACTTTTTTTATTTAATTATTGGTCACAAACAGAACTCCTTTTCAGGAACAAACTGTATGAAACCATTTCCGGCTCTAAAACCTAGTTTAAGTTGATGGCTATCTAACCTGGAGGTGAGGGCACAGGCCACTCTGCTCCACTGCTCTACAACCGGGGGGTGGTGTCTCCAGTTGGCCAGCATTTCCTTCGCTGTCTTCCAATATGGCGGCGTGGGAAAGCAGCGAGCGCACGCCAGTAGCCACACCTCGAACAGCACCGCCATCAGTTTCTCTGCCAGTTTCTCAGCAACGCCAACTGATTGATACAAGGAGATTATTGATGTAAGTCATCATTATTAGCACACAGCTTAGTTGAATAATTGATTCTGATTAGACAATTTGGACATTCAGCGGCCTGCTCTTTTTCTATAGCAGAACGTTGCTCATGACGCTTTGACCATGGGACTATGTGCAGTTATATCAATTTGCAGAAGGACGTCCCGTCAATCAGCTGTGGCCCAACAAAACCCATTAGTTTAACTCCATCAGAAAACACTGTTGATTTTTTAAAACACAAAACTTTGTATTCATGATGGCTAAACTGTCCTCTGTGAGGAAAAGAGAAGAAGAGACAGCAAGAGAAGGAAAGGGGTTAAAGACACAGAGCTCTAGACGTCAACAGAACAAACAGGAAGTAAACACCAAAAGGAACACGGTATGTGCTCTTCCAGTGTTTAATGCAATTGTGTGTCATTAGCGTAACAGTTATATTATACATTATAATGGATTATTATGTAGAGGGAGCATGTATAATGAAAAAAAGAATAGGACCCAGAATGCTTCCTTGCGGAACTCCATATTCAATATCCAATGTTTGTGAAACAAAGTCTCCCAAACTTACAAAAGATGTCCTTTCTGACATTGAAAGTAAGTAGCCGTGTAATGAGCGGAATGATGAGTAGCGAGCCAGTCATTAATCCCTCCCTGCACATTATCCCTTACTTAAAACTATGTGAATACAGCAGAGTAGTTAGTGAATGACAGGGATGGACATACCTCCAACCGTTGGCGCGGCAAGTAATGTGTCGTTGATGCGAAGCAGGAAGAGCAATAGCACCTCCCAGGTTTCCCTCACCATGGAAACAGACTCACGTGCCAACTTCTGAACTGCCGTCAGAACCTGCTGGCAGAGCCTGATGTGGTTCAGACTATGCTGCTCAGGCCTGGAGGGAGAGTGGGAAATAAGGGAGGGAATTAGAGGGACAGGCGAGCACACAAAAAAATTATGTAAAATTGCATTTGGTTGGTTCATACAAGGGAGAATGGCCACTGTCTTTTTAGTGCCTTTGTTTGTGTTGACACTAACATTGAAAGCACAGTCTAAGTAATGGTTAGGGTTACTTTTATTCTTCATGCCCTTGTTCAGAATATGTATTATTTAACAATTTAATTGAATGAATGGCAATTTAATGATATTCAATATGTTTTTTTAGCATAAAAAGGAAAGGTAATAGATAATGATGGAAACGAGACAATCGGACAATTGTGAGTTTGTCATATTTAGCCGGAAAGTTATTATTATGTGTCCTGTGATTAGTTGGAATAAATTACGGGAAGAAATAATATAATACAGACTTCTTTGTTTCCCAGGCACCAAAAGGAATAATAAAAACAAAATAGAAAAATTAAACATCAGCATCCGCCAAAGTTGTAATTTAAATACTGGTATAGGCTGAGAAATGTGCAATCAGTGCATCCCTAACTATCAATAAATAAGTACTCCCACATATGTTTAAGACAGATAGTGCAAAAACAAAAGTATACGTTTAATTTCACTCATCTGTGAACCTACCTTGGCACAAAGACGTTGTAGAGGTGTTTGAGGATGGTCTGGACGTACATGTTGGGCTCCTTGACAACCGGCGTAGGCATGGAGTCCCTGGGCGACACCAGGGCCATCATCCAGTCTGTGTACACATCCACACACAGCTTCACGGTGTCTCCCTCCAGGGGGAGGGTGAGGCCATAACACAACACCTCCATGGTCCATTTCACCTGGGAACAAAACCGTTTTTCATTCAGTTAAGTGAACGTTTCAAGTTATTGGTTGTTTTGTAGCTTTTTCCCTGTAGTAAAATGCTTTCAAGGAGTCCTGTATATACACAGAGGCAATAACAGCTCCCGAAACATATTTCAATAGTGTCCAGTGTTTCCCCTAGGATGGAGTCATAGCAGCGGTGCTAAGGCACGTGGGCCCAGCATAATGTGTTTATAATCATTTTTTAGTGCGTGCGAAGTGCGCCCCGCCGATTTGTGCCAGCACAAGAAAGGCTCTTGAGGCCTAGCACCAGGGCCGGTTTTAGCCAATTTGCTGCCCTAGGCGAGATTTTATATATAAAGAATAAATGAAAAATCTCTACAAAAGACAAATACACTACAAAAACAGAAACTTATTGACATAGGTAATATACGTCAAAATGGCTTCAAATGTATTCAGTATTGTATGAACATGTTTTAATTGGAGGGTGGACGTCACATCCTCTAGGGGGGTCCGGGGGTATGCCCCCCGGGAAGATTTGTTTGAAAATGTTAAAGTAAAATGCTTCAATCTGGTGCACTTTGAGCACACAATCACCTGATCTAAGGGGTACAACTCTAAAACACCCATATGAAAAAGATTGGTTTACATTTTAATAATCAAATAAGTATGTGAACATAACCAATAACCTACCATAGCCAATAACAAATAAATATAACTTATTTTATTTTTGTTGTTCTTTTATCTTATTTTACCTTAACATTTATTCATGCATATTTTTGTATCTCTCCAACTTTAAATGATATTTTTGGTTTACTGTCCCATAGACTATAGTATACATTGGAATGATTTCAAACCTGTTTTTATTTATCCTAATAATTATAAAGGAGTGCCTTGGAAATATGTGTTTACATAATTTGTAAACACATAGTTGTTTGAGACCCACTGAGAGAACTTAGACTAAAATTAACTATCTAAACACTCAAGAGTCCCTAACCTCACCTGAGCTGTTAATCTATCTCAGTCTGACAGCAGAGGACTCTCCCTCCACCTTGTTGTTGAAACAGCTCCTTATGTCTTTTAGAGCAGCTAGCTAACCAGATGCTAACAACAAAAAAATGTCTGTATGTCTGTCTGTCTGTCTGTCTGTCTGTCACTCTCATTCTCATTCATTCATATATATATATATATATATATATATATATTCATATATATACATACATAATTTTTTTTTAAATCGCAAGACCAGCAGGCCACTTAACAAGCCAGGCCATCGGGAAACCTCCCGGTCCTCCCGATGGCCTGCCTATTACATACAGTGGCAATGTCTCAAGATTTAGCAAAATACACCTTTTTGAACATACGGTAACACAAATCCACAAATCCACATAACAAACAATCAAAAATCAAAAAGGGTCGGCACTTATTATTATTTATATATAGGGGAACACTGGTGTCAAGTGCTGCCATTCATTTTCAACAAAATGGTTTCTATGTCAGTCTGCACTGAGAGAGTTACCATGAGGAGTTTAGCACATCTGATGTATTGTCTCAAAACAAGAACGGTCAAAGGTTTAGGGCAAGATGATGATTGACAGCAATAACAATTCACCGCCTCTCCAAACCATATGTGTTTTAGTTTCCTGCCAAATCAGAAACAGACCAGAACAACATTGTTGTAAATCCAACAAAGGTGTTTTCTTGCAAGTGATACAGCTCCAAATGTCTAAATGTCAAATGACCTGCAGAAACTGAATCCAAGTTTATTTGTTCCTGGATAAATAAAGGTTCTACTACTACCTGCATATTACAGCTACATTAAAACCTGCATTACAGCTCTCCCTTGACAGTTTCCTGCAATACTCTGTATAACTTACTACAGTCTTCAGATAATACTCAGGCAGAGACAGCTTGGATCAGCAGTGGCAGGAAGGCTAATCTAAGCATTATCCTGAACATGAAGTGAACTTCAAAAGCAACAGCAACACTTCAGACTTACGATGCGCCTGAGAAATATTGTTTTGAACCCAAACACAGCTCCTCTCAAATCCCTTCCTGACACATGCTTGCTGTCATAATAATATCATTATGCTGGCTTGCTGTAAGCTCTGCAGTTCACTTGCTCGCAGAGAGCTTTTTTTGTATATGGAAAATACAAACACAAATGTATCGGACTTTCTAAAGCCAAAATTATAATTATAAGTGAAAAAAAATACAGATCGGAAGGAAACCAAACTGTGTTCATTTTCAGGCTGAAGCCTCCTGCAGAGAAAGGAGAAGCTGTAGCACTCCATCAGTCACGCCTTTATAACGCTTAAGTAGCTTCACCAAGTATACTCCTAAGTCAAATATGAAAGCCCAACTGGGATTTGCCTAATGGAATATAAATGGACTTTAAGAGCATTAGAAAAAAGAGGACAGATATATCTGGTTTGCTTACTGCACATATTTTATTGCATTATATTCAATGGAAATTACTGCTTTATATTATTTTCAATTTTACTATATTTTGTCTTTTTTTATTTTTAGTGTTCTTAAAATAATTTGCCATGTGTTTTTTAAATGTTTGTTTAACTTTCATGTATGCACCACGACACCAAGTCTAATTCCTCGTACGTGTCAACCTACATGGTAATAAACCCGTTTCTGATTCTGATGAGATAACAATGTAACTCTTAACCTCAAAGTGAGAAGGCAGTGGCAGCATCATGCCAGGGGTTTGACGGCAGCAATTGGGGAACAGGTGAGAATTCAGGGAATGATGAACAAAGCCAAATTCAGAGAGGTCCTTAAATAAATCCTGCTCCTCGTCCTCAGTGCATGCAACCTCATGACACAATGACAATGATAAATCCAACATAGACCTGGTCTTTATCCAGAGTCCCAGTTTAGTGTATGATGTAGGGAAATGTGTGAAAGCTTTGGTGCATCTAAAAAAGGAAGCAATGGACAAACCTACCTGACTCTTGGTGTACAAATCTGATAATAATGCCCCAAAGGGGAAGTATAGCTTTAATGATGCTTCTACTTCTGCTAAATGAAGTCTGAAATTGCTTTGTTTTTTTATTCTAAAAAAGGGGTTTTAGTTATCTTTCACATTTCCAAACCGCTCTCATATACCTTGCTTTCTAAGTATTAGGTATAATATTTAGATTTCAATGAGAAAAGTTAAATTTCATCCATCTAAAACACAATATAAAATGTATGATATTAAAAAAAAAGGTGAGGGGAAGCAAATCGCACAGTGCAGCTACTGACCACACCTACATTGGTCAAACTGTGTGTAAATGGAAGTGCGCTCTGAATGAGGGACATTGTTTTTTCTTAAATCTGATACCTTACTGTTAATGTTCATAACCTTTATTTGGTGCAGCATAAGACAACACCACCAGGTCCTTTAGGTTTATTACTGCTTAAATTGCCGTAATATCAAACAATGTGCAAAATATGCTGCATTTATTCACTTTATCCACATACAACTTAGCAGTATGTCCACAAAATGATTTGCATCCCAGTCAAACAACTCACAGTAGTAGCTCAAACTCAACTGAAGAAAGCAGAAGAGTTTTGTCTAACTATAACCCTTGTGTTCTTTTTTATTAGCATTACTACATGCACAATAACTTTACATTGAATTTTCATAATAAAATGAAAAAAAATGTTTTAACGGAGGACAAGTCCAACGGTGTAGTATCTATTGGCTCCTATAACGTATGTTACGTATTATGGTGAATCCCCTTTAAATCATATGGAAATTCATTTTGAAGGCTGACAGGCTCTCCATAGCTTCGGTGATGAAACTATTAAGGCATTGTTTGGTGCATACACACAAGGTGTATCGGTGTTTCTCACCTCCTTGTCCGTCTTCAGGATATTCTCTGTGGCCACAGGGCTTACAGCTGTACCCAGAGGTTTGACCACAGCATTTGCCACCTCCGTGCCCACGGTGGTGGGATAGCTGTGCAGAACACTGAGATGGCCCTGGTCACTCTGCACCACCAGCTGCAGTGAGCGCCACTCAGAATACATGCTGCTGATGTGTACTGCACTCTACACACACCTCCAGCCTCCACCTGCAGACACACACATATAAAGAAGTCAGTTTAACCCTTAAATGGTTTCTGTGTCCTGGAGGATACATTGCCCAGATATGGTTAGAAACCAGGGATAAATCACTAACAGATATATTTGTGTTTTGAAGCCTATACTCTACAGATAATCAGATTTGAGTATAAGATGGTTGTAATATAGGTGTAATATGGATGTAATACAGGGGTCAAATGGCTGTATCATGGATTTTATATGGGTTCAATAACAATTGTAAACCCTAAATGGGCAATTTATCTTGTGATAAAACACGTTTTTTAAAGATCCAGACATTGTGTCATTTTAGCCTAGATACATTAGCAAATAGCAATTCATTTTCGAAATATTGTCATGCGCTTGCCCATTTAAGGGTTAATAAGGCAAGTGGGTGAAACTATGAAAAGGCTTCTGGGTTAATATCTAGCAGCAATACTTCTCCACAGCTATCAATAAGTAAACCTGCTAACACTCAAATACACACATTTTACAGTGCGATAGTATTTCATTCATAAAAGCAGAATAACTTTACCTAGGCTAAATTATGTACCCTTATCTTAAGTAACTAGCTAGTGTATTTATGGTTAAGGGTAATGCAGGGTTTACGTTTGTAATGACAACATTTTGAACAGAAATAATTAACTATATCATAACCCATGGCATTTGCCCGCTGTATTCATAGCGTAATACGACTGTATAATAAAACCTAGTGAGTTTAAAGTAATTTCATGTGTAACCTTAGAGCTAGATTGACAGTAAACAGGATACCTCAGTCTAGGTTTTGAATATTGTTGCTAACGCTACGTTTTCCCCACCGAAAGATAACAAAACATATCAAAGCTCACATAACATAGCATACATGTAATACTTATAGTTAGCTCGTTTGTTTGCCCTAAGCTTAAACGAAGCCATAGAGCATTTGTATCCTCAACCTCGGGTCCGAACAAGCTGTGGATTCACAACCAGGAAACGGTTCTGAAAATGATTAGCCTGCTAACGCTAGCTAGCAATGACATCAAAACATCTTCTTCCTCTTGCTGATGACATTAGCTAAAATCAGCTGCTAGCTAGTTTCTGTGATACGCAGCTATCTCGGAGCATACGACAAGAGGCTGTCGTTAAGAAAAACGTGCAGTTATTTGCGCTAAGTTATCAGGTCTCAAACTACGCTGTAGTTGGACCGACGGTGCTAGCTTAGCTAATGCTCGCTGCACTAGCCCGTCCGTTGACATTAGCTGAGCTGGCTGTCATTTTGCTAGCTGCATAACTTTGCAAAGACGCTAACGTTTCCTCGCTAGCCAAGCATGCAGATGGGTTTTTATTTACCTGGACGAACGAGAAATGTTCTCATAGCAGAGATCTGAAACTCGCAGTTTATGGTTCCTATATATCCAGGTCTAGACCATAACAGCGTCCATTTTCGCAATGTCAAGGATTGAATATTGCAGCTTGATGAGCTAACGGGAAACAGGATGTGTGGGTTGTCGCCCCCTAACGTCCTGCACAGCAACTGCATGCGACCTGGTGCTGCCTTCAGGTGCTTTCGTCTGACAACTTTTTGGTGCTTGAAACGAACCGGAACTGGAGCTTAGAGGCGGCTCCGCTGCGGTGTGAACAGGAAACACCGGTACTTTTCAAGCTCCAGTTCCGATCCGGCCCTGGAACCGCGTTGGTGTGAAAGGGGTAAGAGTAGCAAAACAAAAGGCCCAGTTTACTTTTACTACTCAAAAGAATATTATACTGAATAATGAAAAGAGTTAATCTCTAACATTATGTTGTAATGATGCTCAGGAGATCTGATAAAGGTCCATATAAGTAACAGGCTTTTTTAAAACTAAAATAAGATAATCAAAACTTCATGAAGTATTTTGAATACTTTTGGAAAAATAATTGACCTTAGCTCCTCTGATTAACCGTACTAAGCTTTGCCTGGTTTCACTGTTTTGCTGCACAATTTAGAAGACATAAGCTAAGATGAAACAACAGGTGTTGCAAAAAGAAAATGTTTTGTATTGCTGTATGGTATCAGGGTAGGCCTACCCTGTACTGTTTGGAAAAAATAATTGACTGGGAACTGCCAGGTTTTGGCTCCTAAACTGGTAGAGCCTATTTATTGGTCATCTTATGAATATAGCCTAAATCTAGCTACACTTAATGGGCAACACTTTGTGCCAAGCCATTTAAAGCTGCCAACATATATATTTGATTCATGTTGCCTACAAATTTATTGTTAAAAGGTTTATCTGGTCACCATTGTCTTTATAAGGCAATAGGAATCATTTTGACGTATTTGGGATAGAATTCTTGGATTTGAAAATCAAGACACTGAATAATGAAGCACCCAACATGATAACTGTCTTCATTCACATGCAGGGGGTTTGCAAAGTTCAAAATACTATCACTCAGTAGTAAAACTTTTTTTTTTAAAACAGTGTACTCCTCTTGCCATTTCAGTATGTTCGTTTGAAGACTTGACTTCTGTAATTCAGAATATTTATCATTCCTCATACAGATTGTTTTCCGGAAATGATTTATAACTTTTAACTAGGTTAAAATAAAAACTGAAGTAGAGACAAAGTGCTGTGTTCACCAGAATTGTTAAGAAATGATAAAGGCAAACACTATTTTAAAAGAAACTACTAATACAAATGATATCTGAAGTGGTTTAGAGAGTGGGTTTATTCGTCTTTTGCCATCGCAAAAAAAATGGGGGATTTTTAACAGACCCATTTTAAAAATAATGGAGTTGATTTAAATGGCAGAGCCCCAAATATCCTACATTTGAGTCCCAATTACACGACAAACTCCCAACAAATCTTTCATTAGACCCATTATGCATGGTAAACAATCATTTGAATCCCTTTTAAAGAAAGAGGCCATTACTTAGAATATTTAGCATGATATACAATACTAAATAGAAAAAATACAATTGGTATAAACAAAATTATTAAAGGACTTTATTGCAAGCTTTTGTTATATTTCAAATAGTGGTCAAGAAATATTATAAAAATACATTTGCTTTGAGGATACCAGTGAAATATCAGTTGTAAGCCTTTAAGGATTCTTTCAGTAGGGGGCAGCAGAGACTCGCTTAAGAAAAGGTAACAGTCTTAATATGTAAACAGCATGTCTGTTAATACTTTTTAATTATCATACTTGCATGATCCTTGATTAATAAATATGAATGATGGATCTATGAGAAAACAAGACTGCTCTAAGTTACACACAGTTGTATCATATGCAGCATTTCTGTTTAGTGTCAGGGCATGTGGACGGTTGGTTTGTCATGTTTCCAAGTTTAATGCAATCCTGTTATTAGGGACCTCATGTCTACATTTCTTTGTTTGCAGTGTGTGAAACATGTGCTAAAAGAGAAATCACTTAAGTACAGCTCATAAGTATTCATTATAAATGTAAATCAGATGTTCGCAGGATTTGAAAAAGAAAATGGGGCATGAGGCTCACATATGGTGCAAAGCCTTTCTCCAAAAACAAGCCAAATAAAACGTTTAACACTCCCAGCATGCCCTGCTCTGCATCTGCAAAACAGATCGAAGAAACATTTTTATCTCAACGCTTGCGTCTCCAAACTCAAACATTATACATTTAATACAGGTGTAAACCTGATGAGACAAAAGAAATGGTAAAGAAAAAGTGTCCTCTGTGTTGCAGATTGTAGCAGTCAACATGTGGCCATATTGTCCCAGACCACGATTAAGTGTCTATGGCCTCCATATGATTGCTTAGTAAGCCAAGCCACATCTCTCCTGGATCTCATCCACAGAGGGGGAGAGGACGAAGAAGAATTATTGGATGAAAGTCAGCATTCTTCTTGCCATCAGCCCTCCATGTTTGGTGTGGTGCACTTGCAGCTCAGAGATGCTAGGATTGGTAGCCGTATGCTAATGCGTCTGAAAGAAAGAGGGGAGAAACAGCAGTTTAGAAATTAAATATCTGCTGTCTGAATGCTACTATAAGAGAAACAAATAATTCACCTGTAGCTAAGTCCAATATGTTTCAGTTTAAAGTGTCTATTCACTTCAATTAAACACACATTTCTGACTTACTTCAGTGTTATCAAGACATGAACACATGTTTCTAGTGATCTCTAAATGCAGATGGCTTTATTTCAAGGCAAAAACTGTAGGCATTGAAAATTGGTATTTTAAGTTGTTTCCGGTTGTAGTCCTTTTGTAAATTAATAAAAGGGTTCTGAGATTAGTTTTAGTCAAATATATTTATTGTGTACACCCCAATACAATTGAAGTTAATGTAATTTGTGGGTTTCATGGCAATGAATAATTCAATTCAATGGAATTAAATTCCATTTACCCCCATTGTTTCTGGTAGAGGCACCAATTGACAATACAGATACCTCAGACCTGGAAAATAAAACCAAAACTATCTGCATAGATACTGTGCTAATACCAATTCATCTCTGTGTGTGTGTGTGTGTGTGTGTGTGTGTGTGTGTGTGTGTGTGTGTGTGTGTGTGTGTGTGTGTGTGTGTGTGTGTGTGTGTGTGTGTGTGTGTGTGTGTGTGTGTGTGTGTGTGTGTGTGTGTGACTATCAGCCGGCTAAAAAAAGTGGGCGGCATTCATTCGGAAGGTCAGAGGTTTGTTCCCCACTACTGCAGTCAACATGACGGCAATATCCTTGGGCAAGATACTTAACCTCGAAATGTGTTCTGTAGCATAAAAACAGGTCAAATGTTATCTGGCCTTAGCTTTGTAGCATCATCTGAAAGAGATTTCTCAACCCAAATAACTTCTTTGTGTAAGATGACCACATAACCTGTTCAAAGCTCACCTGATTGGAACTGTGCCGTGCAGCACAGTCCCTCCCCTCGCGCCGTCCGGTAAATGGGTGACACACATACTCTGGTCGCTGGGGGGAGGTGTGTGAGGCGCGTTGACAGAGAGTCGGGCGGCAAATAGAAGGACGAGCGCTGGCCAGTGATGGAGTCCTGCTGCCCCTCCCAGGTGAGCCAGTACCCCCGCAGACCCCCTGCGCTGCTCTTCCAGTCCACCTGCACAGAGTCACTGCTCACTGTGGTCAGCTGTAGGTCCGCCAGCGCCGGGGTCACTGGGAACAAAGACCTCAAAGTTTTAAAAGTCATTAGTAGGAGTATATTTCAAAAATGATATTATTATTATTATAATTGTTTCCTTTTACTTATTGAATTGGTTTGTACCTTTGCTTGAAATACAAAACGTATTTCTTAAAAGGCTGTATAAGTAAAATAAAACAAAGACACATGCCTTATTATATGCCTTGAATCCAAAAGTAGTATTTGTACATGAATACATTATAATAACAATAAATACAAAAAATAGTAGTAAAGACAGAAATGCTTTAGAAGAACTCAAACAGTAGAAAATGTGATCGGCTTTATGCTCTTGCTGCTCAGTTTTGACCTTGGAGTACAAACCTGAATGGAGCTGCTAGTAATTATGTGAAATGTAAGAACGACTATGCAGCTCAGGATTAGTGAGCTGTAACTGGACCCTCCATCTGCATCGGCTTCCGAAGAGAATACAGGACTTTTACTTAAGGAAAAGTAAAAAACTCAGTGCAAAAACAAATTGAAAAAATCTTAAATATAAAGTACCAATACTACAGAGTAAAAATACAGTTTAACTGTTAAATCACTTTAAATAAAAGCCCTACACTCAAAACACTACTACTATAAAAAATATTAGCTTCAAAATATACACATTAATGTGTTCATAATGTTGCAGCTGTTAGAGGTGAAGCACATTTTAACTTCTTTATTTCTGACTACTTTTATATAATTACAAAATTAATTTATTCATATTTTGTATTAAGAGTCTGAAGTTGCAAAGTAAGTAGAAACTAATCTTGATAAATACTACATTTAGTAAAAAAGTACACTATGTGCTTCTGAAATGAAGGGGTGCAGAAGTGTAAAGTTGCATAAAAAATCTATACTTCAGTACAGTACTTAGTGAAATTCAAGTACTGATCGTCTCACCTTCCGGAGTACACACTTTGACAGACATGGCCTTCTCCGTGCCCGAGGTGTGCCGGGCACTGACGGTGACCAGGTAGGTGGTGTCCGGCTGGAGGTCCCTGAGGAGGGTGGAGTTCTGCGTTCGGCCCACAGTGAAAGCGTGGAGCTTTCCCCTCGGCAGGGCGGAGTACTCGATGTAGTAACTTGTGATCTGATCCGGCTGAGAAGGACCCCAACTCACCCGGACGCTGGTTGGCCCCGACTCAGAGAGCGTCACCACAGCGGGGCTCAGCACCTCTGTGGAAAACAGTCAGTATGAGATAACGTGAGGGAAATGATCTGACCAGGATACTGGGAGTAGATAGTAAGAAAAGAGATAAGATAGAGGCAGTATATTGGTACACTTGAAATGAATTAGCATTAGCAATGTACATGTGTACAATGCTAGTCATTTCAAGCATACAATTCTAAATATATGAAAATAAAGTTTCCAATAATGGATGT